TGACTCCACTGTGGCAGTTGTTGTTTATGATATCACAAGTGAGTGGGGGGAATTATGCATTTCTAATCTTCTTTCAACCTTTAGCTTAGCTGCATGCATGTTCTTGTCTTGTGCTTGTTTTCCTTACTGGCATGTAAAAATACGTTTTATCATAGTAAATCACATACCAGCCAGGTCAGAAATACTTGCTTTGGTGTTTGTACCAATGTAATTTATATCTAACTGTGCCAGGTTTTTTGCCCCAGAAATTTTCTTTTGGGTCCAATTACTAATTCTCTTCAAGGGCTTCTCAGTATACTATTATTTCTACGCCATACCATAATTATAGTTGGAGGAATGTCTCCTTTTCATTTAATTTGATCTCAGATTTCTCTAAAATAAAATAATCTGCATTTAAGTCTCTTGCCAAGTTTTCCAAATCCTCCAAGGTTTCTGTTGAGGATATTACAAGCTTCTGCTAGCCAGCTTTTCTCTGCTTTCCCCTTCCAGCCATTCTCTCTCTGTAGAGGAAGACAGAGAAAACATAATACATAGTTTTTTATTAATCTTTTTTATTTGAATCATATTTTGGTTTTGTGACTGACTTTATTGCTAACAAATTACGCTTTTATTTCCCTCCAAGAAAAAATTTTTAAATGAGAGGTGAAACAACTAGTAGCCTTTTCCTTTTTTTCTGAAGATTGAATAATGCCTGTGGCCTTTTAAGTGACTGTAAATTTTCCATGAAGTATTGGTGACTGACAAAAAAATGCTTTGTGATTGAAATTGCCTTTGTAAATTGGTTTATGACATACATTAGGCAATATTAAACATTATTCCATATAGTGGTTTGTGATTTGTAGGAAAACCAGGGTCTCGAACTCCTGGGCTTAAGTGATCCTCCTGCCTCAGCCTTGAAGTGCTAGGATTAGCCTGGGCACAGTGGCTCACGCCTGTAATCCCCTCACTTTGAGAGGCCAATCAGGGCAGATCACCTGAGGTTGGGAGTTCAAGACCAGCCTGACCAACTTGATGAAACCCGTCTCTACTAAAAATATAAAATTAGCCAGGTGTGGTGGCACATGCCTGTAATCCCAGCTCCTTGGGAGGCTGAAGCAGGAAAATTGCCTGAACGCAGGAGGTGGAGGTTGCAGTGAGCCGAGATCGTGCCATTGCACTCCAGCCTAGGCAATAAGAGTGAAACTCAGTCTCAACAACAACAACAAAGTGCTAGGATTACAGGCATGAGCCATTGTGCCCTGCCCTTTTAAAGTTTTTTAAAAGGGGCTTTCTTTTTAATTTTTTAAAAAATTTACCAGACTACACAGATGTGGTATCTTGGGCTAAAAACAAAATCTTACATAGACAAAGGATCTGTTCATTTGGACTAGTAATATTGTTACTATACATTTTTTGATACCGCCTCAATCTGGAGTCATATCTAATAAGGAATAATTGTGCTGGCAAAATTAGAAGGTTGCATTCAAGCACTTTTTTTTGAGATAGGTGCTATATGCAGCCTTTTTTCCTTTGCACCTTTACTTTGGGTTGCTGTTTGTTTTAAAAAAAAGAAGTATGTTCATATTGTGCATTATCAAGTTTTGTAGCTTTAAAATGTTTGTGCTTACTTTAACCAAAGCAAGTGAAACCTGGTGTATTTTTTTTATAATTCCACAAATGTGATTAAAATATTAGTAGTATATTGTTTTAACTACTGTAATAAGTGTTGAAGTACTCTACTTAGAATCCAACCTTAGAAAAAATAAATTTTGTTGCAAATATTTCCTGTGCATTAAACAAATAAACTTTAGGTTAAAGTGATCACAAACTGAGGAAACGGTGCAGGCAGTGGTGTTGAAAGCTATTGAAAGGCTTTAAAAATTTTCTGGATGTGTTGGGACTTACTGGCTGACATACTTTTGAGATGCTTTCTTTGTCACGTTTGGTATGTGTAAGTGATCAAAACATTGTGGCAATGTGACACCATATTATCTGCCATAGCTGTCCTTATATTTCAAGAGGTTGTTTTTTTTTCCCAATTAAATACTACATTGTGCTCATTTGGTCATGTTCAAAAAAGTTTTTAACTACTCTTAAAAGGAACCTTGAAGATTTTATTCTTGTAATTTGTTTAAATTGCTGACAGTTGTAATCAGATAAAATGGAGTTATGTTGCAGGCACATTAAAAGTGGGGTACTAATGTGCCAGACTCCTTCCAAGTTTGAGGGCTTTTTTGGAGGGAGGTGCCCGCCACCTGGGGAGGCATTTTTCAACAACACTAACTCTCTGTCTACCCTCCTATGCCAGATGTTAACTCATTCCAGCAAACTACAAAATGGATTGATGATGTCAGAACAGAAAGAGGAAGTGATGTTATCATCATGCTAGTAGGAAATAAAACAGATCTTGCTGACAAGAGGTATGGAGTTATTTTATGTTTGTGTAATGTTTGATTTCTGTGTTATGCAGCCTTTTATTTTTGTTTACTGAAAACTTATTTCATAGGAGACATGCTTAATCCTTAAGTTTATGTCCTCCCCTACTTTTCTTTAGCATGGGAACCTGAAATACAAATGTAAACATTAAACACCCAGTCCTTAAGGGAAAATGAATTTTATTTTATTTAAGCCCATGTGTAAATAACTCTTGTGCAGGATTGTTTAGACATGAAGCCAGTAAATATTTTGCATTTTTTTAGATCTCATAAACATGAATAGTGTTTTGTTAAAGAGCAAACCCTTTGGAAAACAAGCCTTATCTTTAAAAATTATTCATAATGATTAAATGCAGACTTAGTAGTCTTCTTATAAACATTCATTGTAATTCAGTGGTGTGGGATTTTGTTTTTTGGGTGTTTGTTTTTTTTTAATTGTGTAGTTGAGCCAGACTCTGTAGTTGCACTGAATAGCTTGATTGTGATACCTTAATCAAATGAGCGAAGCGATATTCAAGTCACAGGATGTAAAATATATTAACATTCACTGTAGAACCCTTGGCTTGAATATTTGCTTTCAGCATTCTTAAGGGATTTACTGTATATTCTTTCTGCTTTAAATAGTTTTGACCATACTACTTAATAGTAAGAGCTTTTACTATTTATTATTTGTTTATTCATGAGATGGATATTGAAATTTAGGTAATGAACTTGTGATATTAATTCAAATGTTGCAAAGAAAGCCAGTGTTAAAAGACTTGTGGAGATTTCAAGCCCATTTATGCCTATGGCACTTCAGTTAGAATTGGTAGTACAGGCTCATGCGCGTAATCCCATCACTTTGAGAGGCTAAGGTGGGCGGATCACCTGAGGTCAGAAGTTGGAGACCAGCTTGGCCAACATGGCAAAAACCCATCTCTACTAAAAATATAAAAATTAGCTGGGAGTGATGGCAGGCACCTGCAATCCCAGTTACTCTGGAGGCTGAGAAAGGAGACTTGCTTTAACCCGGGGGCAGAGGTTGCATTGAGCTAAGATTGTGCCACTGCATTCCAGCCTGGCTGAGATTTCATCTCCAAAAAAAAAAAGAACTGGTAGTACAGTTGCAAAAAAAGTCTTTCTTAATTTAAAAGTAAATTCAAAGTGATTTCGTCTTAGATACCTTCCTTTTTTTTTTTTTTCTGGAGATGGAGTCTTACTCTGTCATTCATGCTGGAGTGCAGTGGTGTGATCTGAGTTCATGGCAACCTCCACACACCACCACCACCACCAACACCACCCCACCCCAGGTTCAAGCTATTCTCCTGCTTCAGCCTCCTGAGTAGTTGGGATTACAGCTGCCACCATGCCTGGCTAATTTTTGTATTTTTAGTAGAGATGGGGTTTCGCCATCTTGGCCAGGCTGGTCCTGAACTCCTGATCTTGTGATCCACCTGCCTTAGCCTCCCAGAGTGCTGGGATTACAGGCATGAGCCACCATGCCTGGCCAGTACCATCATTTTTAAATAGAAAAATTGTATATCTGAATTGTTTCCCTCTATAGCCAGAGTCATCTGAGGAGGATGGTTATAAGGATTAGTTTTTTTTATTGCTTAATATTTCAGTTGAGTACACAAATGATAGGAACTTATCAAAATTATATATATTTTTTGTTTGTTTGTTTTTGAGACAAAGTTTCACTCTTCTTGCTCAGGCTGGAGTGCAATGGCACAGTCTTGGCTCACTGCAACCTCTGTCTCCCAGGTTCAAGTGATTTCTCCTGCCTCAGCCTCCCAAGTAGCTGGGATTACAAGAGCCCACCACCACACCTGGCTAATTTTTGTATTTTTTGGTAGTGATGGGTTTTCACCACATTGGCTAGGCTGGTCTTGAACTCCTGACCTCAGGTGATCCATCCACCTTGGCTTCCCAAAGTGTTGGGATTACAGGGGTGAGCCACCATGCCCAACCCCAAATTATATTTACAATAATTTTTCTTTAAGGTAACATTTGTCAGCTGCTTTGAAATTACCATCTTTCTTGGTAATCTTTGCCAGACTATCATCTCTCAACTGCTCACATTTAAGAGAAACAGAGCTCGTTCATTCCAATGAAAATACTTCCAAATGGGTAAAAGACTTAATTTTTCTTATCATCTTTATATTTTGACCTTTTATAAACATGACATGAAATCCCGAAGCTGTAAAGGGAAAGATTGATAAGTTTGAATACATAAAGAGCATATTCACCTATTAGATCGACCACAATTCAGAAGATTTAAATGCTCGGTAATGTTAAGAGTTTGAATAAATAAGAACTCTCATGCTCTGAAAATGTATATACAATTTGGAGGGGAAGCAGTTGGACTATATTAAAATTTAAAATAACGTTATTGACCCAATATCTCACAGATGGTCCCACAGAAATGTGAAAAGGTGACCATACTGTTTTGCAACATTATTTGTAATATTAAAAAATAAAAATCAATCTAGATGTCCGACAGTAGTAGATTGGAGATATAAATAGTATAAAATGCTATTTATACCATTTATATATACTATTTAGTATTTAAATATTAGTATTTAGTATTTGAATATTTAAACAGTATACTATTTATATCTTTGTAGCCATTAAAAAGAATGAGAGGAATTTATTGATGTTTTAACATATATCTAACCTATGAAGCTTAGAAAAACACTTGATCAGTGTGTATAACACAATATCTTTTCTATTTAAAGAAAGATGGCAGGCCAGGCAAGGTGGCTTATGCCTGTAATCCCAGCACTTTGGGAGGCCGAGGTGGGCAGATCACTTGAGGACCAGCCTGGCCAACATGGTAAAACACCATCTCTACTAAAAATACAAAAATTAGCTGGGAGTGGTGGCATGCGCTTGTAATTCCAGCTACTCGGGAGGCTATGGCAGGAGAATCGCTTGAACGTGGAAGGCGGTGGTTGCAGTGAGCTGAGATTGTGCCAAGATCACACTACCACACACCAGCTTGGGTGACAGCATAAGACTTGGTCTCAGAAAATAAAAAAAGATGGTAGTGATATATTTGTTTGCTCTATTAGAAAAAATCTGAGTAAGAATACGTGAAACTTAACTGTGGTTCTTTTGGGGAAGGAAGTGGGATTCTGGACAATTTTATTGATTCATCTTTGAAAAATTGATTACCTTTGTAGTCAGAAGAATATATTTTAATCAAAACAAAAAATTCAAAGTTAAATAACTTTATTAACTTTCTTTGAGAGTGACCAAAATACTTAAGTTTTAGAAGTTTTGTTACTACCCTTAGATACTATGATTTAGTGAGCCTGGAGTAGGGCCCAGGAATATATTTTGAAGAATCTTTCTAGGTGCATCTGACGCAGTCAAACCACAATTGGGACCATTACTGTAGCTAATTCCAACTATTTTATTAGGACCACCTTAATGAATATGATCATGAGTCTAAAACCACTAAGGAGTTCTGTCCTGAATCTTCCATGTATAGGCGTTATAGACTAGTGAGCACTCATTCAAGAAATATTTATTGGTGTCACTTATGTTCCAGATGCTTCTGCTCTAGCATACAGTAGTGAACACAAAAGACAAATCTTCAAGGAACTTTTATCACAGAGAGTGATCCAGACAATAAATAAGTCAATAAAATATGTAATATGTTAGATAGTGATAGATGCTAACAGGAAAACATGAATCAGGGAAAGGCGACATGAAATGCTAAGGAAGGATTTGAAATTTTAGATAGGTTGGCAATGGAAGACCTCAATGAGAAGGTGACTGGTAACTTTATGAAGAGGGGGAGGTTAACTATGTAACTATCTTGAGGGGGGAAAGGTTGTAGGCAAAGGGCTCAGAAAATGAAAAAAATCTCTGAGTCGGTATATTAGGGTTCTCAAGAGGGAAAGCCCTAATATAATAGATGTATATACGAAAGGGAATTTTTTAAGGAGTATTGACTCACACAAATAGGAGGTAAAGTACCACAATAGGCCATCTGCAAGCTGAGGGACAAGGAAGCCAGTTCGAGTCCCCAGACCTCAAAAGTAGGGAAGCTGACAATGCAGCCTTCAGTCTGTGGCCGAAGGCCCAAGAGCCCCTGGCAAACAACTGGTGTAAGTCCAAGAGTCCAAAAGCTGAAGAACTTGTAGTCTAATGTACCAGGGCAGGAAGCATCCAGCACAGGAGAAAGATAAAGTCTGGAAGACTCAGCCAGTCTCGTCCTTCCACTTCACCTGCTTTATTCTAGCATCTCTGGCAGCTTATTAGATTGTACCCATCCAGATTGAAGGTGAGTCTGCCTCTCCCAGTCCATTGACTCAAATGTTGATCTCCTTTGGCAGCACCTTCACAGACACACCCAGGAATAATACTTTGCATCCTCCAATCAAATCAAGTTGACACTCAACATTAGCCATCACAGTCAGTAATACACTTAGCTGATTCAAGGAACAGCAAAGAGACCTATATAACTGGATAAAGGATGAAGGGACCGGGTGCAGTAACTCACGCCTGTAATCCCAGCACTTTGGGAGGCTGAGGTGGGCGGATCACCAGGTCAGGAGTTTGCGACCAGCCTGACCAACATGGTGAAGCCTCATGTCTACTAAAAATACAAAAATTAGCCAGGCGTGGTGGTGCACACCTGTAATCCCAGCTACTTAGGAGGCTGAGGCAGGAGAATCGCTTGAACCCAGGAGGCAGAAGTTGCAGTGAGCTGAGATCGTGCCATTGCACTCCAGCCTGTGTGACAGAGTGAGACTGTCTCAAAAAAAAAAAAGGATGATAGAAAGTAGTAGGCAATAAGGCAAACAAACAAATAAACAGATCAAATGAAGGCCAGATCATGTACAGCAAAGTAAGGGTTCACTCTTAATGGTATTAGAGGGTTTGAGCAGAGGAGTAACTTCATGGATCACTGTTTGTTCTATTGAAATGAAAAGGGTAGGGCAGGCATGGTGGCTCACACCTGTAGTCCCAGCATTTTGGGAAGCCGAGGCAGG